GTGAACTTTTTCTTTGAGCAATCAGATTTCGAGACGATCAGAAATACTCTAAAAACTGGAGGTCCCCTGAAAACCCAGGAAAAAAATAAAAAGGTATCTTTCCGAAGTGATCAGTTTTCAAAAAATTCAAGATAGGTAGCGCATGTGAAATGGAAGGTGAAGCAATTAAAATTCCATATAACTCTATTTATGCTTCTTGTGTTTGTTTTCATCAGTATGAATCAATCTCTTCGGATAAAACTTCCAGAATAATAAGAAGCAAGATGGAGAAGTGTTATGTAGTGTGCACGGAAGCAATAGCATTTACGGTAACGGAAAGCAGGACGGGAAGTCGGTTGAGAGGACTGTGCATCAATTTGGGTCACCCAAGAAAGAGGACAAAGTGGCGCAGAAATGAACAGAGAAGTTGAAATTTTTGGTTGAGCAGGTGACGTGTAGCAAGTCAGGTCTCAAGGCAATTTACATTTTTGAAATCAGCTCGCTCAGACGGTTCAAAAAAGTATACTCATGACTAGGTTTGTTGAGTTTACAATATTTACTTTTTGAAGAAAGGGCGCACGCTGATCAACAAAATTACGGTAGTTGGACAGTCCAATGCGCTAGTCATGAGTATATTTTTTTGAACCGTCTGAGCGAGCTGATTTCAAAAATGTAAATTGCATTGCGATCGGACGGAAGATGACGGAGTCTGTAGGTTTTTGTGATATTGGGCAGATTTCGCAAAACCTAGGCATGGGGATTTGGAAAAACGTGATCGAAAACTAAAAGAAATACTGTATCCCAAAACCTACCGTACTCGATTTTCGATTTCTGATAACGTAGGCTATACGGAAGTTTGGAATTCGGATTCAGCTCGTCAAGCCGGTTCGAAAAAGTATAATCATGACCTATTTTGGATCATTCGGAAGTTTTTTGCAACATCTGTGCCTTTAAAGTCGGGTTACTGTAGGTTTTCGTGATATTGGGCAGATTTCGCATAACCTAGGCATGATTATACTCTTTCCGCAGCTCTTGACTTGCTGAATTCAAAAATGAGAATTTGGAAGAACGTGATCGAAAACTGAAAGAAATACTGTATCTCGGAACCTACCGTACTCCATTTTCGATTTCTGATTATGTAGGCTCATCGGAAGTTTGGAATTCGGATTCAGCTCGTCAAGCCGGTTCGAAAAGGTATCATCAAGACCTAATTTAGATCATTCTGATGTTTTTTGCAACATCTGCGCCTTTAAAGTCGGGTTACTGTAGGTTTTCGTGATATTAAGCAGATTTCGCATAACCTAGGCATGATTATACTCTTTCCGCAGCTCTTGACTTGCTGAATTCAAAAATGAGAATTTGGAAGAACGTGATCGAAAACTGAAAGAAATACTATATCTCGGAACCTACCGTACTCCATTTTCGATTTCTAATTATGTAGGCTCATCGGAAGTTTGGAATTCGGATTCAGCTCGTCAAGCCGGTTCGAAAAAGTATAATCATGACCTATTTTGGATCATTCTGAATTTTTAAAAAACATCTGCGCCTTTAAAGTCATGATTATACTCTTTCCGCTGCTCTTGATTTGCTGAATTTAAAAATGATGATTTGGAAGAACGTGATCGAAAACTGAGAGAGTTACTGTATTTCGAAACCTACCGTAACCCATAGGCAGCGCGTTGTTTGAAAGTATGCTATTTTTGAATTGTTCATATTCTCTTCCATTCATTTCCCCTCCTACTATCGATAAGGTGCGTCACCATTTTGTTGGTCGTCGAGTCCATGGGCGGCGGCTTTGAGTGTTGCGTCGCTCTTCCATTCATCATCACATCATACATATTCTGATGAGCTTACGTGGGAAAACCATGTCTTTGAAGATTCGAACACACCGATTGAATGAATAGATGTGAGGTGACTTTGGAGGAGACGGAGTCCATTGTTGGGTCTTATTGTGCTTTTAATTTCGATTTTTCAAGACAGAAAAGTGTAGTAAAGTTTTTGATGTTTAACGTAGTTTATAGGCATTACCTTAGTTCACACTCTTTTCATTTGGATTTCTCTACTAACGACCTTCAATTCCCATTTTTCAAAACAAACAAACATATGAATGTGTAAATGTTTTTATTTTACGAATGTTTTGGCAACCTTAACGTCTCCTTTTTGGAGAGAGTTGTGGAAACTTTTCAAATAGGTTTTTGATCTTAATAACGTCTCTTGATGACTTTTTTTCTTTCTCTTCCTACTTCAAAGTTTCTATTATATACCACCATTGGTCTCCGTCTGCTTTCTCATCTAGTGTCCCCAGGATAATTCATAATTTCTTCATTTTTCTTCCCATGTTTTTTTTATTATCTTTCCACTGATCACAAGACTTCCGGCTAGCTTTTTCTTCTTTTCTTCATTGTTTCAGTTCGATTAAAGTTTGTTGAATATTCGACAAAACGTCTTAACATGATGAATTTGAAAACGTGCTCTTCGTGAGCTCCGGAAAAAAAATCATTTTTCAACTTTTCTAACAAGGGAAGGTCCCCGGGTGGGGCGCGCGGATTTCTTAGATATTTTGGGGATATGATCGCCTGGGGTGCCCAACACCAAAACTGGAATATTACGTGCGCTCTCCCAGGTTTGCCAGTTTTACAGTAACATGTTTGTTTTTTCTGAACAATCTGGTGAGTCATCTTTGAGCAATCATAACTTTGTACATTTTTATCCGATTTGGTCGTTCTTTTGTTCATTCTAACTGTCAATTAGTAGACTACAAAAATGCCTCTTAAACCCATTTTCTAAAACTGCAAACACGGGAGATAAATCAAGAAATGCGAAAATTTTGAAATTATGGTGTAGCTGTATATGCCCGTTTTTGGCAATCCGGCATTGGGAGACTATCACTACGTGATTGCTACTACCAAATGTGGTACATATATGTATTCAAATATGGGTCGAGCCCTGAGGTTTCGAGACTTATTTCAATTTTTTCGAAAATTTTTCCTAATTTCACGTATAGGGATACGTGGATACGGTCTGAATTGATGATTACCACTCTGGAAATAAATTGTTTTGGAAATGATGAACTCCATTCAGTTGAGCCCAAAGAATAAAAA